ATACACACATCTGGAGAGGCTGCACAGCTCTGTAAGAATCCTGTTCTTCGACTACTCCAAAGCTGTCAGTGATTCAGGTGGATCACAGCCTGGTGGCCTGGATCACAGACTACCTCACCAGCCACCAGCAGACCTCAGTATGTCAGACTCGAGGCAGCGTGTCTGATGCGCTGCTGAGCAACACTTGAGCCCCCCAAGGAACTGTGCTGTCACCATTCCTGTTCAGCTTTTAAAGCCAAAAACCCCCAGAAAGTATTGGACACCATGAAAACCATGACAGGAATGTCATCTTCAGCTAAACCTATTGTGACGGACAATTAATTTTGTTTTGCCAATGAACTAAACACATTCTTTACCCGTTTCGAGTCACTGGATAATTCCTGCTCGCTGGCTAAATGACGCACTGCGTGCTAATAGAACCATCCTTAGGGCAGCAGAGCGGAAACGGTGGAAATCCAAACACCCTGACAACCTCCTAACCTATCAGGCTCTCCTCTCCTCTTTCTCTGCTTCGATCTCTCAGGCAAAAAGCACTTTCTTTCAAGATAAGATCCATTCTTCATATTCCAACCCCAAAAAACTATTTCCCATCTTCTCCACCCTCTTAGAACCCCCCAGAGCCCCTTCCCCCTCCTCCCTTCTGTCAAGCGACTTTTTTAACTACTTTGAAAAAAAGGTTGATGATATTCGCTCTTCTTTTTCTGACTCACCTTTACTCACCGCTGGGTCACCTGACCCACTTTTACTCACCGCTGGGTCACCTGACCCACTTTTACTCACCGCTAGGTCACCAGACCCACCTTTACTCACCGCTGGGTCACCTGACCCACCTTTACTCACCGCTGGGTCACCTGACCCACTTTTACTCACCGCTAGGTCACCAGACCCACCTTTACTCACCGCTGGGTCACCAGACTCACCATTAGTCACCACTGGGTCACCTGACCCACCGTTCACCCACACACTGACCTCCTTTTCCCCTCTCTCTCCAAGTGAGGTTCTTACCCTCATTACCTCTGCCCGTCCTACCACCTGTCCTCTGGACCCTATCCCATCAAACCTCCTTCAGACTATCGCTCCTGATATTCTACCGTTTCTCACCCATTTCATCAACACTTCTCTAACTTCTGGTCACTTTCCAAACACTCTCAAGGAGGCAAGAGTAAACCCTCTCCTAAAGAAACCCACTCTCAACCCGTCTGATATTATAAACTACAGGCCTGTCTCTCTCCTCCCGTTCCTGTCTAAAACACTTGAACGCGCTGTCTTCAAACAACTCTCCTCCATCAGAACAACCTTCTGGATCCGCACCAGTCTGGTTTCAAGGCAGGTCACTCCACAGAAACTGCTCTCCTTGCTGTCTCTGAGGAACTGCACACGGCTAAAGCAGCCTCCCTCTCCTCTGTCATCATCCTTCTGGACCTGTCTGCTGCATTCGACACGGTGAATCATCAGATCCTCCTTCGCACTCTCCAATAACTTGGAGTTTCAGGCTCTGCACTTTCCCTCCTCACCTCATACCTCAAAGACCGTACCTACAGGGTAACTTGGAGAGGGTCCGAGTCTGACCCTTGTCAATTAACTACAGGGGTCCCTCAGGGCTCTGTTCTTGGTCCCCTCCTCTTCTCCTTGTACACAAACTCGCTCGGATCAGTCATTAGCCCGCATGGTTTTTCATACCACTGCTACGTTGACAACACCCAATTCATTCTGTCCTTTCCCCGCTCAGAGACCCAGGTCGTCGCACGCATCTCTGCTTGAAGCAGACATCTCTCAGTGGATGTCTGCTCACCACCTCAAGCTCAACCTTGACAAGACTGAACTGCTTTTTCTTCCTGGAAAAGATTGTCCCACTCTTGACCTAACAATCAACATCGGCACCTCTGTTGTTTCCCCGACTCAGACTGCAAGGAATCTGGGTGTGACCCTAGATAACAAACTGTCCTTCACTGCAAACATCGCTGCTACAACCCGCTGCTGCAGATACACTCTTTACAACATCAGGAGGATACGTCCCCTCCTGACCCAGAAAGCGACGCAACTTCTGGTCCAGGCTCTCGTCATCTCACGCCTAGACTACTGCAACTCCCTCCTGGCCGGTCTACCTGCATGTGCCATCCGACCTCTGCAGCTCATCCAGAATGCAGCGGCTCGTCTGGTCTTCAACCTTCCTAAATGTTCCCACACCACGCCGCTCCTCCGCTCACTTCACTGGCTTCCAGTAACTGCTAGAATCCACTTCAAGACAATGGTACTTGCGTACCATGCTGTGAATGGATCTGGCCCTTCCTACATCCAGGACATGGTTAAACTGTACACCCCAGCACGTGCACTCCGCTCCGCATCGGCCAAACGGCTCGCTACACCAGCACTACGAGGGGGACCCAAGTTCCCATCAGCAACAACACGTTGGTTTGCTATCCTGACTCCAAAATGGTGGAATGAGCTCCCCATTGAAATCAGGACAGCAGAAAGCTTACACATCTTCCGGCACAGACTGAAAACTCATCTCTTTCGACTCCACTTTGAGCGATAGAATTACTAACAAAGAATTACTAACAAAGCCAGGGGCGTCGCCTGGACCTGAAAACATTCGGGGCTTAGCCCACAGTGGCGGCGGCGCTACAGTGGAATATTCTACTGCAACACTCCCCACACGCACACACACAGTACACCCGCAACTGTTACAATGAAGGCTCGATAATCAGCTCACGGCATATAGGCAGGGGTAAAGTGCTATTTTTTATGAGTGGGGGGGGGGGACCTAACCTCCTCTAGGGGGGTCCAGGGGGATGCTCCCCCGGGAAGATTTTTTTTATAAATATTGAAGTTAAAAGCATCAATCTGGTGCACTTTGAGAGCAACATGAAGAGATCTATGGATACAGCTCTCAACACCCATATGAAGCAGAACTGTAAACAGATGTACTTTTTCTTTAAGGATATTTTACAAATCACTCCCCTTTTAAACTATATTCTTGTTTTACTGCCATATAGTATTTCATAACTGTTTTTCCTTTATTCTCTTTTTTTTAATAACTATAATGATCATATAAACGTGTGCCGCAGAAATAATCTTTTGAATCATTTGTGACCAAACCGTTTGAGACCCACTGAGATAACTTAGACTAAAGTAAACTATCTAAACACTCAGAGAGTCCTTTAGCTCACCTGAGTCTCTCAGTCTGAGAGGAGAGGACTCTCCTCCAGCTTCTTGTTGAACAAACAGCTCCTTATGTCCGTTAGTGCAGCTAGCTAACCAGATGCTAACAACACGGTCCATGCTGGCACCGGCCCCTCCCTCCCTCCCTCTCTCCCTCCCCCTCTCTCTATCACACTAATTGCGCTATTGCCACACACACACAGAGCCGAGCTTGAATGACACAAGCACACGTTTATTTCCATGCAACTCTCTGATTGGTCTGGTGTCATGCCTCTGTTGCATTCACTGAACACGGGAAATTACAGTCCTGCCGTCCTCTCTTGTGTCATGATGAGGTTCACGTAAAGCACGGTTAATGTATTATATTATTAAGGGAGAATTGTCCGGGGCTACAGAAAAAACATTCGGGGCTAAAGCCCCGGATGCCCAGGCCAGGCGACGCCACTGAACAAAGCACTTATATACTAATAAAGGACTGGCTTATCTAGATCTCCATGGTAACTTATGCTGAGCGGCTAACCTGCTCCGGAGCAGGTTAGGTTGCAGGCTAAGAGATCAACTCAGTGAAAGCACCGCCTGCTGACCAATCAGAGCTCCGTGTGCGGAGTTTAAAGCGATCAATTCATATTACAGGATAAAGAAAATACAGAAAGACGGCCGGCAAAAATCAACTGACTGTGTGAACGTGAGAATGAATAGAATATCCCCTCCCATCTTCAGAGCAATCTGACTATTATAACATTAGCGTTAAGAAAGCTTACTTAAATATCTGCCACAACATAAGTAACCGGATCAGAGTAACATTACGTACAGTCCGCGGCACTGTGAGTGCAGACGTCGATGTGTCCCATTATCATTCATATCATATCACATCATAATGTATCATATATTTCCTTATCTGAGTCAGCTGAGCCGTATCTGGCCGTGCAACACTCACAGTGTCACATACTGTATGCAGAAGTATTATTTTAAGCAACACATTAAGTTGACGAAACACTCGAGTCAAATGTAATTAAAGTCAGATCGTGTCTTAGACGGGGCAGTGATATCATAAACCTGTTAATGTACGCATTCAAACACTTTTTCTTTTACCAGCTGTATTCACCTTGCAGGTGCAACTATGTGGCTTTTATCCTGGATAAAGTGTTTAAGTCATGGATGTTTAAAGTTTAACTTCTTCATATTTGACTAATATTAAAGTTCACTTTTCATTCAGGAAGTATGACACTGCGCTGTCAGTACGCTTGTCCATGTTTGTGATTGGTCGAATGCTCCAAATACCACCCCTTTCATGTGAACGCGCACCTAACTAGATAGGACACGGCTGGCTTGAGTTAACGAGTTGATAACCAGCGTCGTAGTACAGTTTAGCGAGAGCGCGTATGTTTTGGATTAGGCCAACCGGCTAACTCAAACATATCCAGGTTAGGAAAATCCGGCTTCGTAGTACAGGCCTTTGGTGTACCTCATAAAGTCGCCAGTGAATTTATATTACACACCCTTAACTATACTAACTGTATATGTATGTAAACACCTTACATTTTAACTTATACTGTCACTTTTTTAACATGTTTTTACTCTGTAATTTCTTTATTATTATTATTATACCTTTTATATAATAATTATAGTAATTATAATTATTACTAATATTACTATTACCTTGTCTGAATTCATATCTGTCCTATCCTGTGTTTTACCCTTGCTGTTGCTAAGACACCTGAGTTTCCATACAGGATCAACAAAAGTGTATCTTATGTTATCCACAGTCTCAGCGTGTGACAGAGTGACATTAAGATGAAACCCTATTTTCTGCATTGTGGAAACATTTGAAACACACATATATTTCACCTATATCATTTATTAATGACACATACTGTAATATAAATATAAATTACAAACAGATTGCCATTATTACAATTTCACAATATAAAATCGAAGTAACACATTAGTGAGCAGTATCCTCTGTAGACAGAGCAGCTGCTCCGTTGTCTTCATACACACTAAAACTGTCTTCTGACAAATGTATAAGCTGGAACATAATATGTGCATATTGTGACAGAAGTGTGACATATGGAAGGACATCCAAATGAAGGTCAGCACATTCAATCAGGGGCAGTGTGTATAGGCTCAGGCAGACATGGGTTCATAGGTGTGGAAGTGGATTCCCTTGGAGCATGTGATCTTCATCACTGCCCCCTGCAGACTGGAGTCCATGATCAGCCTCATCATGCCCTCTGCGATCAGAGAAGGCCTGCAGACAAACACAGACAACATGAACTCACACACACAGGAAACAGTGAGTCACTCGTGATGTGTGTGTGTGTGTGTGTGTGTGTGTGTGTGTGTGTGTGTGTGTGTGTGTGTGTGTGTGTGTGTGTGTGTGTGTGTGTGTGTGTGTGTGTGTGTGTGTGTGTGTGTGTGTGTGAGCTGCACAGTGTAATAAGGTTCCTCAGAGCCTGGTGGTACGTTCACAGTTCATCACAAGCTGTAATGAGCCCTCAGATGAAGGGAGGACCTTGGAACATTTTTCATTTGATTCTCTGATGTCTTCTCAAGTGTAGTGCATTTCTGACCATGCTTTGGTTCAGTCTCTTAGAACTAATAATACTAATAGAATACTGTTCTATTAGTTCTATCTCTTGTTCTCTTAGAACGGCTCCAAATAAACAAAGACAGAGAAAGTACCATTCAGCTGCCAAGTGGACTCTGGGCCACTTGTGTGAAATAATAATGTAATCAGAACAGAGACAGGCTGAGTGTTCTCGAGCGCACATTTCACTGCAGTTGTTTGGAGAGAATAAATCACCATCAGCTCACAGACACAATCTTAGGTACAAAGAGCAATTCATCAGTGTGCTGAACGTCCTGTGACTGAAACACATAACTGTGACCACTACTCATATTCCATCTCAGTATTCATAATACTTGTATTCACATTTTTCACATTAAAAACAACAAAGAGTTACATTATACAGTTTCTACAAAACCAGAGCTGTGCTGATGTACTTTCCATTCTTCAGTTATGACACACTACAGACCATGTAGTGTGCTGTCACAATATAACGCAACCTTGCATGTAAAATGCCACACACTTTAAAGCTTTTCATATGTTGAAAAAATAAATAAAATGCAGGTTATTTTATAGTCTAATCTAAATAAACCAAATAAACAGACAATGCTTCTCCAATTCCTCCCAAAATCCCAAAAAAGAGCTTCAAAATACAGAAATAAAGGAACTGCCATCTGCCAGACACACACATAATCATAATATCTCCATAAAAACATCAACTTGACAAATGTTCTATTGCACAGACTCATGATTCATTATTCAGAAACGTCATTTATGTGTCGGATTTCAACACGACGGTCCACTTCAAGCTGCCAGCAGAGGATAGAAGTGCAGCTCACATCCTGAAGTCTCTCATCCTTCACCAAACTACTTATTAAACTGAGCAGTACACACATCAGCGTGATAACAATGACTTTAAATGACACCAATAAACCCATTTTATGGAAAAAAAGATTTGGCATGTAACTGGATTTGTAGTTTTGCCCCTTAAGCTCTCAGGGGGCCAATGAGCCATGTCCTGCAGCCCTCCACCAGGGGGCAGTGGACATGTTCTGGTCATGTTCAGTATGTGTGTCCTTCAATGACCTGAGCTCAACCCCACTCTCATTCTCACTGACTCATGAGTAACCAGACATTAATCAAATATATGTTTTAGATATTTTCTGTACTTAAACAACTTAGATGCCCAGTGCTGAACTGGCTCATGTTTAATCAAAACAATGATTGGCAAGACTCATAACGACCAAGACTCCAAGACCTTTTAAACCCTTGCTGTGTCAGTACAAATTCTGAACAGTTAAACATCTAATTATCATTACACAGATAAACATGTTGTGAACACAAACATACATAACATATCATTTAAACTATCAGAGACACGTTTGTTTGTTAACTTACTGTAAAACTCCAAACTTGCTCATGCTTCGTTTGAAATCGTCCTTGAACTTGACAAACTTGCCCATGTTGTCCTCATGTTCCACTGAGTGCAGCAGAGGAGTGTCCACGAAGGCCGGGCACAGAACGTTGATCCGGACGCCGTAATCGCCTTGTGAGGACGCGTCCTGCGAGACAGGAGGGAGGAGCGGAGCTTTCAGTAGCTTCATGTTAACTGTGTGTGTGTGTGTGTGTGTGTGTGTGTGTGTGTGTGTGTGTGTGTGTGTGTGTGTGTGTGTGTGTGTGTGTGTGTGTGTGTGTGTGTGTGTCTTACCGCCATAGCTCTAGTGAAGCCGATGACTCCATGTTTAGTTGCAGTGTAGACAGGCTGGTGAGGGGAGTGCAGGAAGGCTGAGTCAGACAGAACAAGGAGAGAGGAGACATGTCACCAGCAGCCAGAGGAAACTCTGCTGGGGGCCCCAGAGGAAACTCTGCTGGGGCCCCCAGAGGTCCTGACCGGCAAATGGTTTGTCCCACCTGGGTATAGGAAGGAAAGACTGATGGAACCATCTGGTTCCCTCCGAAGCTTCCCTCAGGATAGCTGGTGCTCAGAGTCTCGCAGTGTTATCTGGTAAAGGTGTGATTAGCGCTCTTAGAGCCAGAACCATCTCAACCTGTCCTCAAACTGTAGACGGCTCGCTGGCTGGGAGCCCGGCGACAAATGCAAGAAAACAATGTTATAAGTGAAACATGATTTCTGTGTGTCGGCTGTTGCTCGGGGCTCCTGTAGATGTGGATGGTGAATTCTACAATAACCAACAACATCCTCTGGAATGTTATTAAACCTACAGAAATCCAGCTTAAGTGCACAGTAACAAACCTGTGTCTAATTACTGTTCTGCATGTATCATTATTATGTCTTTATTGAACAAGGAACATGTTTGTTCATCTCAAATAGAGAAAAGATGCCATATGTCAGAATAATGCTCAAATCTAAAAGCTATGAAGTGTATTGATAAAACACTTTTTCTTTACAAATTGCAAGGGTTTTATTTCTATTGAAAAAACAAAAACAAAATAATGGTAGCGGTTGTTAGGCAAGTAATGTAATGTTATCTGCCCGAACACCATGAAGCAGGCCTCAACGTTACACTAACAGCATCAGTTCTTTCAGAGTGGCCAGCAGACATCACCGTCTGCTGACCTGTGACCTCTCTCTGACCTCTGCCCCAGTGGCTGTTACTTCACTACACATTGTCAGTGCAGTGGTAGATAGCCGCTCTCCTCCTAAAAGCAGCATAAGTAACATATACAGTGGAGGAAATAATGATTTGATCCCTTGCTGATTTTGTAAGTTTGCCCTCTTACAAAGAAATGAACAGTCTATCATTGTAATGGTAGGTTTATGTAAACAGTGAGAGACAGAATATCAAAGACTGCTTTGTTTATTGTCCTTGTTTTAGTTTTAAATAAAGCATATTCAATCGAGACATGCCAAACATGTGACGTCATATGACGCGTCGCATCTGCGCAGTGCGCACAGGGAGGAGGGAGACCCCGAGATCCGTATTCCCCGTATTTTTTAAATAAAGAGATTTTCAATCACGGGCGCGCATCAAACGTGTGACGTAATGCAGGGTTGCCAACTCTCACGCATCTGGCGTGTGACACACGCTTTCACTCTCAATCTCACGCTCTCACGCTGCCCAAACTATTCTCACGCCAAAAATAAGAATACGAAGACGAGAAACGGTTTTGAAAACTTTTGTCACGTAGTGATCGTCTTCTCAATAGAACATCTTTGATAATGTATTCTGGCCAATCAGAATCACGATAACGGCGTGGTGTTGTTGCAGGAAGTCCCGACGGAGATGAGAATACTTTTGCAGTAGTACATCTCATATCATCGATACAACATTACGTGTTGATAGAAATCAACACGTAATGAAATAAGACCCCACGGTTTGATGATTGATAGGTGTGTGGGCTGTCTTTCATTTTGACACACAGAACAATGGGGGCTATCCACCCTTATCCACAATGTAAAGTAATTCACACAGCCTCTTCCCTCTTCTCTCTGTGAGGAGCAGCACTGCTGCAGCAGGTTCAGCTTTCAGAACAAAGTAACAAAAAACTAATATGGCATTCATTTTTTTAAATGTGTAGTAATAGATTTATTTATTTTTCTTCTCAAGAGAGTACCAGAATGTGTATTTTATGTTAGTATTTAAAAAATTCTCCTGGGGGAGAATCCCCCCAGACCCCCCCTGCAGGGGTCAACTCTTTCACCTGTGGGGAAATTGCAGGATTGGCTCCAGGTCGCCCTTTTTATTTACTACAAGACAAATGTGCCTTTTTATTTCATACAGTTCAATTTGGATTGAGACAGGGAAATAATCTAAACCTCACGCGTGGCGTTTCACTGTCGGGGGGAGCGTGTATGTAATTACATTGCAAATACTGACTTGAGCCCCACCACTGTATGGGTTAGCCCTACCATAGATTACCCAACAAAAATGCTCTGGAGCGCATGCGCAGATCTAAGATCCAGTAGAAATGATAAAAAAGTAAAAGTCTGCTGCTTATTGTTCTACTAGGCCAAAATAGAGTCAAAGAGTATATGAGAGTGAGAGTGTGTTAATTAATATATTTGGCAGTTTGGAGTAAGTCTGTAGATTTGTTTGTGTGTGTGTGTTTCATGTATAGGCCTCTCACGATAATTAATTTTGTTGGATACATTTTCCCGGAAATTATTGCGATAAACGATAATATTGTCGGCACCGTTGTATGACCATTTTAGACCACTGACATAATGATAATATATAATAATAATTCAAGTACATCCTTTCAAACTGCTAGTCACATCCTCATGTACTGTAAATGGCAATTTATCGAGGTCAGAAAAGTTATCGAGTTCATTTTTATTTATCGTACGATAAGTCAATTAATTGCTTATCACGACAGGCACACAATAAAACAGTGGAAACAAACATGTCTGACTTTCATTAGTGAATGAAACTGTGTGCCCTTTATAGTCTGTGTCCATTATTGTGTATTTGTATATATTGTATATATATCCTATATATATGCTAAGGTCCCGCTGCTGACACGATAGCAGTCATTTCGTGCGCATATGTGTAATTAAACCGAATTAAACCCATGATATCAAAATCTCACTCCAGCCAGGTACCCAAAGTTGGCAACCCTGCGTAATGTGGTATTAAAAGTATTAAAAGAGGTGAAAATCACTACAAGTCTGGGCATGTTGAGAGCTGTACATACACACACATTTCATAGTCTTATATTTCAACAGTTTTACGACAAACTGTGACTTTTTGACATGGAAATTATTATTTAAGATTGACAAACATCATATGTGTAATTCGTGGCACAATTCAAACAGGATCGAAAGATAATCTTTCTCTCTCCATTGACTTCAATACATAATTTTTCCGAAATAAGGTCCCATGGAGGAACCCGGAAGTTTGACGGACATTACCCACAATCCTCTGTAGCAACCATAGACTGTATAACAAAATTAAATAATACATTATTCCGAGTGTGCTTGCTTTTCTCTTTGAAAGTCATCACATAACGGCATTGTAATACACGTTTCGGCTGCATTAAATATGACATATCTGCCGTAGTTAACTCTATTTATAGAGCCCTGATGACAAGACTTCTTGACAAACAGGAACTGCCGCCAAAACTGAAAACTTGACGTGGATCATAAATATATAAGCAATTAAACAACATCTTACATTTCTTTTCACACAATACGTCTCCTTGCAGTATCAATACTAATTCGGCTGACTTTTATATTTGATCCAATTGGTAGATAGGCTGTATTTACACCATAACGGTGCACAGCTGATAGAAAGGGACACCTACTGGTTAAAGCACGTTATTGCATTTTAATATTTTATTATTAGATATGAATAGGATCCCTATAAAGTATGTTCTTTACTCGTCGTTATTCTCTACTAATAGTTAATTAAAGACTGTATATAATGACTATTTTGCACATCCCATTCAAGATTTCAAGATTTTCTAAGGTTTATTGACATTAAAGACTGTATATAATGACTATTTTGCACATCCCTTTCAAGATTTCAAGATTTTCTAAGGTTTATTGACATATCATATTTTACACAACTACGGTGTAGTTATGCAATGAATGAAAAACTTGGGTCGCAGGTTCCTCAACAGTGCATTACAAGACATCTATCAATATGTGTGTACCTCCACCATTAAACTGTCATATTCTGCACATTTCTTATACTATCTACATACATCTTATAAGAGTAAAACATATGTATAATATCAGTTAAAAATAAGTGCTTCAACATAGTTGCTGGAGGTATAAACACATATTGATAGATGTCTTGGAATGCACTGTTGAGGAACCTGCGAGCCAAGTTTTTCATTCATTGCATAACTACACCGTAGTTGTGTATAATATATGTCAATAAACCTTAGAAAATCTTGAAATCTTGAAAGGGATGTGCAAAATAGTCATTATATACAGTCTTTAATTAACTATTAGTAGAGAATAACGAGTAATGAATATACTTTATAGGGATCCTATTAATATCTAATAATACAAATAATAAAATTCAATAACGTGCTTTAACCACTACGTGTCTCTTTCTATCAGCTGTGCACCGTTATGGTGTAAATATAGCCTATCTACCAATTGGATAAAATATAAAAGTCAGCCGAATTAGTGTTGATACTGCAAGGAGACGTATTGTGTGAAAAGAAATGACGTTTATGACGATGTGATGTGAGATGTGAGATGTGAGACTGGGTTGGAGAATTGCACAGGGGAAAATAACGTATCTATGCCGCGGATTTTGTTAAACTAATACGTTTGCGCTGTGGACCAACACTATAAATTGACGGGGAAGGGGTGGGGTGGGTTAGCAATAAAGATAACACCATTAAACAGTTACACAACATAACAGACATAATATCGATAGCAGCGTCCCTAGCAACCACCTTGGTAACAATGAAAACGTTGTATTTACACAATTTCCTGAAGTAATCTTCGTAATAACTAGCAAACTAAAGATCATGTACATCCACTGCACACATAATCTGAAATAACAACTCATATTTCTCGCATCAAATGACATCAAAACGCATTTTAATGGCCAAACTAACCTTAAAATAGGCATTTTCTACCGAGAATAAAACGAAGGTCGGCCATGTTTTTTTATTTCTGCGGAGAGAAAGTTGAAGATCACGTGACATAGACGCCAGCCATTGGAAATGAATGGTGAAAAAAAACGTAGGGATCCTACAATTTCAGAGGCGTTTTTGTAGAAATACTAGTCCCAAGTTGTGGACCAACGTAGTTAACGTTTAGATGTGAGACTGGGTTGGATGGATGCTAGCAGCTGAGCCTG